AAATCGGCCGCGAATAAAAATGAAAATAAAAGTTCAAGTAACTCGCAAAACTGGACCTGACCAGCGAGTAAGACTGAACACTGTTAGAAGATTTAATGTGTGTTTGGGCAAAGAAATAATAAGCAAAATAGATTCATCATGTTTTTCAATGTATTTACTTCAATGATTACGAATTTTCTTTTGATGACTTTGGGTAATATGAGGAAAAATCTATGTAACACAACTTTTGAATTGAAAAAAAAAAAAAAAATTGTAGCCATCGAGGTAAATACATTGAAAAACATGATAATTCTATTTTGCTTATTATTTCTTTGCCCAAACACACATTAAATCTTCTAACAGTGTTCAGTCTTACTTGCTGGTCAGGTCCAGTTTTGCGAATTACTTGAGCTTTTATTTTCATTTTTATTCGCGGCCGATTTTCAGACTTAGAGGACAAATTCTCGAGGAAACTCCGATTAAACACTTCGCAAAGGTAAGTACACCCTAAAATTTGATAGCCATCCCGAGGATGCATGGTTTGACTACTTACCTCGATACTTATCCACATTTTACGTAGTTATTTTATCATTTAAGATCGGCTATTGTAGCAGCCATTTATAGTGTCAAAATGGATGGCAAAAGCATATACATTTGATCAGATAGATCTTAACTTTAAATTTGGTATAAGTTGCCCCATAAATGTATTAGATCAGGACTACCGCTGTATGTAATTGCTTTTATTCTATCCATGCCTGCCATTTTAGCCGCCATGTTGAATTTACGAGCTTCAATATTGGTCAAGAGTAATTTTTGACTTCATATTCGTAATGTGCGACCCAAAATACATGAGAAATGATACCCCACTCGACGCCATACGCCGATACCAAAAAAACAGGTTTCGATCGGCGGCCATTTTGGCCGCCATATTGGATTTTGGGGTTTTTTTATGGACCATACAGTGAGTTGTAACTCTGTTTTCAAACCTGGGACCACACAATACAATCATTGGCCGTCTTACTAGACGGCCAAATGAGAACTCAGCGATTTCCGCGCCGGGTGGGTATTTTCAGCCGCCATGTTGGATTTGCGACATTTTTTTTGATCGGAGGGTATTTTAAACATCTTATTCGGATTTTACGACCCAAAAAACATAGGAATCGATACCTCATATGCCATAATTCGGAATTTTCAAAAATAAGGGCTACCGAGCGGCCGCCATTTTGTTTTTGGGCTTTGGGCGCTTCCTGCACGATTTTCAAGGTTATCGCCATCCAAATTCTGATTCTAGACATCATAACGAAGAGATTGATATCACTCACCAACTTTTTTCAGAAAGTTGCACGTGGGACTGGATTTTTGTACATTAGAGATCAGACTATAAGTGTTCTTAGATCAACCCCCACCAACAATCTAAACGTCGAGGCAGCTATCCCTCCCATCCTTAATAGATTTAACTTCCTAACAGACAAACTCCTAATCAGATCAATGAGCCTGAATCACAATCCCATTATTAGAAATATAAAGATGCTTGAGAGATCAATTATGTCATGTAACTATTGTGTTAATAAACAACACCCACTTTCTCTTAATAGATGGTTTCTGAGAAAACCTTCTTCACCCAAAACCTTAAAAAGCGATTTACCTTGCTCACTTATGAGAGATCCAGTTTTCCAATTTTTAGCTAACCTAATACCATCTTTCTAGACATTCCTCCAAGAAAACTATCTGATCACGTTTCAATCCAAATGAACTTTAATGAATTAATGAGACTAAAATTTAGGAACTTTACCCAGTAATATACTGACGGTGCCAAGACAGCCGAATATACCTCTTCAGCCTTTCTCTCTATTGAATCCTATAAAGTCTATTCTCTGTCAGATTATAATTCTATATTTACAGCCGAAACGTGGGCTATCCTCCAAGCTGTCGAACATAGTATTAGTCTCAATCTATCCAATGTTGTTATCTGTACGGACTCTCATAGTGTCTTAGTTAACCTTATTAATCAAAAACCGGACCTCCACCCCCTCATTGAAGAAACCAAAGAAATCCTGTTAAGACACCGTGAAAGAAATATTTGGTTGGTCTGGATCCCTAGTCACTCAGGGATATTAGGTATTGAGAGAGTTGACCAATTGACTAAATTGATTCATCTAGCTTAGTTAGTTGATAATAAAATCTGTTTTAAACAATTGTTCCCCCTTATCACCCAACAAAACTTTAATGATTGGAATTCTGACTGGTTAACACGTACTTGGAAAGGTCAAAGACTAAAATCGCTTCTCCCTACACTCTCTCGCAAACCATGGTTTTACAGACTTGACTGGAAACGTTCTCTTATTACGAATTTAATTAGACTTAGAATTGGTCATGGCCTTTACCCCTCGCACTTGTTTAGAATCAACTTAGCAACCTCTAATTTGTGTGAATGTGGTTCCATAGTAAACTCAGATCATATCCTTTTCCAATGTGAAAAGCTGAAAAATAGAAACATCCTTTTTTTCTGAACTTATAAATAAATTTGAAATCTTCCCACCCTACTCAACTCTATATCTTCTTTCGGTCGGTGACCTCAATACCCTTAAATCCATAGCCCTCTTTCTAGTTAAAAATGATATCCATCTCTAATCTACCAAATCTTTACTCTTACACTAATAATTTTCTTAAACTTATTCCACACCCACCAACCGTCTTACCCTCTAAATTATTCAATCTACCTTTTTCCAAACAAATCATTTTCTCTTCCATACTCAATTCATACCATATGTTCACTTTTTATGTTTTCCATTACCCAGTCTCTGGTCATAGGAAGTCGCTCTGCCGGGTATCAGAGCGTGAAAATGGTGAAGGGCTCTCACCCTCTCAATCTTCAACTCTACTTTTTTATCAACCCCCCCCCTTTTTTTCCATGTCTCTATATTTTTTTTTTGCCTCTCACACCTTTGAAGTCGGTTCCTAATCACTTATAACCTCCATTCGATAGATACACACTAGTCTAAAGTTGGCTGCAGGTGCTTAGACACAAAGCCATTAAACAGCAAAAAAAAAGAAAAAAAAGAAAAAAAAAAAAAATGCAGTAACTTAGAGTGTACCTAGTGACAATCCTAACTACCGGCAGCAAAGCAAAACTCTCCGTTGCGCAATATTATCATGAACACCAACAGACCTAATTGTTCTATTTGTTCGGGGTTGTCAGAGTTGTCAGATTTTCAAACTCTGCAGCAAGTTTTGCTTAATGAGCACTGAGGCTCAAAGAGACAAAACCTGTGCACTTTGGCACCATACTTGAGAGATCAAAATTTATTACATCTTAAAAAATGAAGGATGCTGCTTAAGATTTTTCAAAGAATCCTGTGAGCAGATTTGGAGAAAAAAGTACGAGATGACGGTTCAAGCTGTGTATGCTTTGAACAAGAAATGGAGGCTCAAACGTTCTTTGAGAAAGGATGAAAAATTGAGTAGGCTGTTTTAAAAAGTAATGTGGATTATATTTTATAATGTATCTTCGTAAATTTCCTCGAATATTTGAAACATTCCTATGCTTTTCGATTTTAGTACGCTTTACTTTAGACAGGCATTTGCATTAGTATGTACAGATAATCAATGGTTGTTCTTTTTTTAGGTCCAAATTTACTAAGATTTTAGGTGGTGTCCCACAGGGAGCAGTCATTGGACCTCTCTTGTTTCTAATCTTAGCCAACTATGTGCCTCATCATGTCAAAACCATATCTATGAACCTAGTGCTTGCATTATTTATAATGTTTCTTTTTGCCGATGATGTGCTTTTTGTGGTTAGCAATAAGGATCTATCAAGACTAGAGATGGATGTTTTCATTATTCTGAACATTTTCAGACAATGGACCGTTTTGAATTTCTTCCAGTTTAATGTAGACAAACCAAATACATGCTTTTGAGTACCAAAAATATTGTAGGTTCCTTCAACATCTTGATTGACAACCAAGAAATTGAGTTGGTCTCCATATTAAAGTACTTAGAGATTCTTTTGGACAATAAGCTAAATTTTGATAGCCATGTAAACAGCATCTGCAGCAAATTACACTCTGCCATATTTGTAATTAAAGTCCTCTCTAAATATTGTGATATTAGTATACTTATGTTAGTTTACCACTCCCTATTCATGTCCCACATTAACTATTGCGTAACTATTTGGTCTAATTGTAAGAACGTTCTCCTGGAGAAAGTCTTCATCATCCAAAAGAAGGCTTTAAGAACCATGTTAAAGGTAGCGCCAAGAGAGTCCTGCAAAAATCATTTCATTGATCTCAAAATTCTGTCCGTTCCCTCCCTCGTAATTTATAGGTTCATTTCGAATTTTATAGTTGAAGCCTCTTTAGCTCCTGTGGCTCTCAGTAAAATCAACACTAGATTCCATGTTTTGACAAATGCCACCAAGAACAGCCACTCTCTAAGGCGCAGTCAAATCCTATTTGAAAAGCTCCCCTCAGCTATAAAAAGCAAATACAGGGACTCGAATTTTCTTAATGTTTTAAAAAATTTCTTCATTGCGAAATGTTTTTATAGTGAAGCGGAGTATTTAGCATGAGCCCTTTTTTAAAAAAACTTTATTCTTTTTTCCTTCCTTTTCTTTTTTTTCTTCTATCCTCACTAACTCTGACATATTTGTTCTAGCTGTTGAAAAATGTGCATTTAAAAATAATAATAATAATATATTATTATTATTATTATATTATTATCATTAATACTGATCACACATATACACAGATGATGCGATATTTTCACAGAAAAAAAGTGAATTTGTTGCCCAATTTGTTTCGTTTCCATTTATTGAAGTCTTGACCAAAGGAGCTTAACAATGCAGCATTAGAAAGTCAATGAAATGATCTTTAAGCTTACAACTTTTGCGCAATATTGAAAGCATCTTTAATCGCAAAACCTGCAGTTAACTAGATTTATTCATTTGCTCACATGAAGGTTGATGACAATCCTTGAGGGACACCCTATTTATCTTTTTTTTTTTATTTTAAATTTTTTCCCAGCGGAGTTTGGCAACCATGATCCAGAGCGACATACCGCAGAATACCTGAAAGACTTTGCTCTCTTTCCAAAAGTACGTATTGCGTAATAAATTTAGTCAGCTTAGTTAAGTTTTTACAGTCGTTGGTGGTTACCTGAAGCAACTACTTTTGTGTATTTCAGCTCCATGAAGGTTTAGGCTCCTTACGGCCACGTTTTTTGGTTTTTTGCCTCTTCACATGGTAACACTTAATAAAAGGAAGGGACGGCAAAAAACTTACATTATATTATCAACTCATATATTAATACTGTATTTGTGGGAGCTTTGTCAAAGGCCATACTTCACTAACGAAAAGCACGATACTTTTCACAATAGCGTCCTACATCCGGTGCTTTTTTGTCTTTGAAATGCTCTGATCTCAAAGCATCCCGCTTGGCATCGTGATGGCTCTCCTTCCCTGGCCCTGTTGGAAATCAAATTTCCGAAAAAAGCCCTGTATTATTTATTCTCTCAATTCAACCGGTGGAGTGTAAAATTCAAAAAACTTTCCTTGTATCCGAAATTGGGGGAACTTCTTGTTCAGTCTGAGAGAAAAGGGGTAACTTGGAACAAATTGCAATACAAAGTTCTGCTATATAGGTAAACCTCATCTTTAGGTTGCCCTACATATCGCCTAACATGCAAAAAGTTTACCATAGTTTGAATGGAAAATCCCCTTCAAAGTTCCGAAAATTATACTTGCGGCCGTGAATTTACTTAGCAGCTTACCTAAGATTCAGAACATTTAAAACCAGAGTCAAAAGATTTATCTTTCTCCTCGTAATTTTGGTCGTAAATGGGTCATTGCACGCCAACAGTACTAGGTCCGCAACCCGACCTCCTCTGATATCTTTCAAAAAACTGGTGCGTGAGGTCTCTTAGTCCGTTGCCCACAATCCAAAAATGGCAAAAACCCTGGACTTTTTGATTGGAATATGCTGCTCTTAGGGGTCATTGGTGATGCCCGCGAGAGTAATCCTGGAAGGGGAAACAATTTGAGACCGGCGACTGGAGAAGGATGACAGCCGTTGAAGTCTGCCATTTTGGTTCTTTTAAAGTGCTGTCTCTCCGTCACTATTGATCCGATTTTGAGCAATTTGTTTTTCGATGAAAGGTATTTTCCAGGAGAATAAGTTTTCCTCTAATAATTATTTCTGTTAGTTTTGAAGCATTTTTGTGAAACCGGTGGTGCAGCTGTCAGTAGGCCCCAATTTCTTTGTCCACACCGAATTACCTTTGAATAAGATTCTCAGTAGCACTTACAAATACGAGTACTCGAAAACCCTCAGCAGAATGTATACTAAGAGTTTTGTACCGAAATGTACCGTCGGAAAAGCCGAACTTTTTTTTACCGTAGGGCCTCCCCCAGGAGGGTCCCCCCGGCCATGGCCCCCTGCCCGTGGCAATATTGACGGACCCCCGGTTTCTGTGTCCCAAGTGATCAAATTAGAATGTTTCTCTACTCCTTTTAATAGTACTCGCTTAGTACAAAGAAAGTTTTGTAACCTCACGGTAGGGGAGCTACGGGGGGGGGGGGGGGTCAAAAGTGGGGGGGCTGGAGAAATATTTTCGAAAAAACGGACTTACGTACACCAAAACCCTCAGAATGTATACTATGTCGTTTTTAACGAATATATTATTTCGGGTTTAGGTCCAAAAATGGTTCAACTAAGTTTGCGAGAAAGGTATTACAATTTATTAGCACAAAGACATCTCGCCGGTTCGATACAAAGCAAGCGACTGACTAACTACAAAACTATCATGGCCGGACGCATAGTCTCAATCCACTCGGTGAGATGGTGAAACTCCCGGTTATGAGTCTACAGCAGAAAAATACCTCTCTTTACTGATAATGGGTTTCCATTTCATATATCAATGCTTACTCCTCTTTATTAGTTAAACGTTATTTCATTTTTCTCTTATGTAGGTATTTTTCAGCCAGAGCACAATTCTATGGCGTTTCACCTTTTCACATAGTTGCAAATTTACAACAAATTATCCTTTTTATTGTTTTTACTCCAACCAACAAGCCCCCTTAAAAATAATTAAATGGAGCTTAAATCTAGCACAGTATCTAATAATCAATTTTATTCTTAATTCATTATATTAGACCTTCATTCTTTGAGAGGAATACCTATTTTTCAATATATTTTTTATGCAGAATTCATGCTTCTCTTTTGGTGATCCTTTTGTGAGCACATCGGCAACCATGTGTTCTGTATTTACGTGCTGTAATTCTATAATATTTTTATTGAGCACCTCACGGACAAAGTGATGCTTGATTTCAATGTGCTTTGACCTCGCCCTGAACCCAGGATTCGATGCGAACTCAATAGCGCCATTACTGTCGCAAAATAACTTAATCTTTTCATCATAGCACAATTTTACTTTCGGAACTGATCCAAATATTTCCTGATACAGATTATGCAAAAACATAGCTTCTTTACTTGACTTAGTTAAGCTCATATATTTGGCCTCAGTTGTGGATTGGGCTATTGTTTTCTGCTTATGGCTCTCCCAAACTATAGGACCGCCACTCAGATTGTAAACATACCCTGTATAAGAGCGTCTGTCCTTTTTGTCTCCTGCCCAGTCTGCATCATTGTAACCTATGAGATTTTTGTCTTTGGAAGTGTTAAGAATTCCTTTATCCATTGTCCCCTTTATGTATCTCAATATTCTCTTAGCCTTCTTTCAAGCTGAAACTGTTGGACAATTATTAAACTGACTGAAGTAACTTACTGCATGTGGGATGTCAGGACGACTACAAACTCCCATGTACATTGAGCTTCCGATTAAATTCTGTTACGACACAGTCTCCAAAATTTCTTCCTCTATTTCAATCCCCTGTTTTCCTTTGGACTTGCTTACTTCTAGGGGAGTTTTAACAGGATTACATTCTGACATCTTAAATCTTTTGAGTAAAAACAACGCATATTTTTTTTTTTTGTGACAATGCTACTCAACTCTCATCGTCATTCCAAGAAAATTCTATTCCCAATGCATGTTTAATTCTACCCAAGTCTTTAATCTTAAATTCTAGTCATTAATGCTTCCTTTGCTGCATATTATCAAAAATTACAAAGAAATCATCGACTTGTAGAGCTATCATCATTACCGATTCTTTATACACGTCAAAGAAAATACAATTTTCCAGTTGTGATTGTTTGAGACCAAAATCAAGCAAAACTGTTTTAATTTTTATGTTCCAACCCCTTGACGCCTGTTTTAGGCCGTACAGCGTTTTTAACAATTTTCAAACTTTTCCTTTTTCAACCTCAAAACCTGACGGTTGTTGCATGAATATGACTTCCTCAAGTTCTCCATGCAAAAACGCAGTATCAATATCAATATAATGTATCTTTAATCTCTTTAGCATTGCAATCGCAAACAAGGAACGCAAAGTCCCAATTTTTATCACTAGTGAGTAAGTTTCAAAGAAGTCGATATTTTTTCGTTGACTGCATCCACAGGCAACCAGTCTCGCTTTGTATCTTCTTGGTCTACCATCTGGTCCCCTTTTTATTTTAAATACCCATTTACATTTTATGGCTGTTGCGTTCTCGGGTAATTCAGTCAATTCCCAGGCACGGTGCGCTTGAACTCACTTTAAATGCGATTTGAATATACATCAAAAATTCAAGTTGGAGGTTGTAGTGGGGTACTCCCTGATGGGTTTCTGGGCAATTTCGTAATAGGTTGTAGGAGCTCCTCGAAAAATAATCGCATTTTTGTGGCTTTTTAGGGGTAAAATAGCAAAATTGACCTTGGGGCGACAAATTAAACCCCCTCTCCCTCATTCTTGCCCCGACCGATCTGAATTTTTAGTATGTTTTCACCTGGTGTAAGATGTGACTTTTCTGAAATTTTCATGCCCATACATAATTTTTTGCCCCCGCGGCAGCGTTGCCAAGTTGCGGACTCCAAAATGTCCAATTTGATGATAAAATGAAGGTTTCGAAGTGAGATTTCCATTCAATTTCAAAAATTCAAATCGCAAGTTGTAGTAGGGTACTGCCTAATGGGTTTCTGGCCAATTTTGAAATAGAGTGTTTGAGATTTTTAAAAAATAATCGCATTTTTGTGGTTTTTTAAGGGTAAAATAGCACACTGGGCACGGGGCGGCAAATTAAACCTCTTCTCTCTCATCCTTGCCGTGACCAATCTGAACTTTTAGTATGTATTAACCTGGTATAAGATGTGACTTTTCTGAAATTTTCATGCCCAAACAAAATGTTTTGCCCCCGCGGCAGCGTTGCCAAGTTGTGGACTCAAAAATGTCCAATTTGATGATAAAATGAAGGTTTTCGAAGTGAGATTTCCATTCAATTTCAAAAATTCAAATCGCAAGTTGTAGTAGGGTACTGCCTGATGGGTTTCTGGCCAATTTTGAAATAGAGTGTTTGAGATTTTTGAAAAATAATCGCATTTTTGTGGTTTTTTAAGGGTAAAATAGCACACTGGGCACGGGGCGGCAAATTAAACCTCTTCTCTCTCATCCTTGCCGTGACCTATCTGAACTTTTAGTATGTATTAACCTGGTGTAAGATGTGACTTTTCTGAAATTTTCATGCCCAAACAAAATTTTTTGCCCCCGCGGCAGCGTTGCCAAGTTGTGGACTCAAAAAGATCGAATTTGATGATAAAATGAAGGTTTCGAGGTGTGATTTCCTCCAAAATTTCACGAAAAATTTGCAATCTGAGAGTCTTCGATAAGGAAAAGCATATTTGAACAATTTAGAGTTGCAGCGTTGCCAGCTTCACGATTTAAAATTCGTCGAAATGATCCGAATCGCGTTGCAACCTCAAGGTCCTGATTTTTATTTCGTTCAGAATTGGTCATTACGGTTCTTCTGTACTCTATGCATTTAGGTACCATGAAAATTATGCCACTACTCACTTGATGGGTGCAGCTAACTCAACAAGAGAGGCCGGATAAAGCGAAGATTCGGGGAAAAGCGAGTGGTTTGGGTTTACAGATAGTTCTCTTTACATGACACAAAATTTACAAAACATCTTTCATTTCGTTGTCTATTTTTGTTATGAATGAATTT